GTCAATTATTGTTATTAATTATTATTATCAATTATTATTTTTAGTTATTATTATTAATTGTTATTAATTATTATTATTAATTATTATTATTAATTATTATTATTAATTATTATTATTGATTGTTATTACTAATTATTACTATCAATTATTATTATTAATTGATCAATTAATTAATAACAGCAGTAGTAATAATAATTATTATTATAAAATAATAATTATTGTTATTAATAAAATGATAATAATTATTATGAATTGCTTATTTAGTTGTTTATATACGGGGGTAGTTTTAAATTGCTATGACGAATGAATGTGAAAGATGAAAATAGTATGGTATTATATGTACCAAAATGAAGAATCATTCCTATTCCATTTTTTCTCATTTTCAGCTTGGATTTAAAGAATTTATACGAAAATGGAAAGTGGAAGAAAGTTAAAATGTATGATATTTTTGGGAGGAAATGAATAATAATGTAAGGTAATATTTTAATGTAATTGAAAAGCTTTTTATCAATATGTTGATAATCATTAGTTTATCAAGACATGATATGATAATATATAAGCGTAAATGAGTTTTATACGTTATAATAAATTAAGCAATTGTTAATTAATATTATCATTAGCTATACGTATGCGTTGGTATACTATTCGCTGGAAATTCTAAAATGACAGGCAAGTTGCATTAAGGAAAGGACATAAGTATAAATTCTTATCGTTATTCAGTCCCATCTGGTAGATGGGACTGTCCCATCTACCAGATAAAAAGAAATTAAACTAGCCTAGGCTTATTGAAAGATAAGCGTTGAGCCTAGATCAAGTGGTATACTGTGTTTGGAACTTATTGCAAAGTAGTTGCAAATTATTTATTATTTAATTAAACATTTGGAAATAGATAATAGATAATTTGCTGAATTACTTTCGTCATCGCTTATATTACTGCTAAATAGAGAATATATCACGAAATGATATATAAAAAATTTTTCTTTTCGCAGAATTTATTTTGACATATTTTTTTTTTTCTTTTAGATCAAATTGAATTTCTTTTCTCTTTTTTTGTGCTGCGAACGTTAACGAATCTCTTTCATATTCAGTTGCTTGTAATTTAAGAGATTTTTGACTATACCGACGGAATTTTCGAAAGGTTTGATTGATTTGTGACCTTGCAACCGTTATTCATATTAAATGACCAACCATGATAGTTTGCTATTTAGTCCATTCGTGCTGATAAATGAGATGGTGAATAATTCATGATTTCATTTTTAATTTAAACCAATCACTATGAAAAAAAATTCATAGCTAAAAAGGCACAATTTGAAATGATAAGAAAAGATACTAACTAAAGCTAAGCGGGAGAAGGAAAGAAAATTTCGAATTGATATCAAAAATATTATTATTTTTTTGGTTAACTTAATATGTTAATATCTATGAAGGACATAGTCAAATACTGAATATATATAATACTTGTACGTATATTTTTTTGTCACTATTACAGGTGTCACTTCATAGGTATTATAGCTTGAAGAACTAAGTCTTAATTTCAAATTTTCATAGTTTGGGTGCCTTCTGGTATATTCCTTCGTATAGTACAAATGGAAAAGCATTAGGATTGGTAAAAAAAAAAAAAAAAAAAAAAAATGATGAAATAGTTAAAAAACAGGCTAAAAAGTAAAAATAGGTAAAAATAAGTAAAAAAAATGGGTAAAAAATTAAAAATAGATCAAAAAGTAGGTAAAAAATACAAATAGTTAAAATAGATATAAAATAAGTGGTAGGTAAAATAGGTAAATAGATAGAAAAGAAAAAAATAGGTGACTTTCATGTATGAATAGTTTATATAATGTCGAGAATCAGGGCGATCATATAATGTCGTCTCTCTTTGTGGATATTACATGGTACCTTTAGTGTGTCTGCACGGTACTATGTAATCTTTTTGTTTGTATCATATTGTACCATCCAATATATTTATGAGTACCACATGATACCATTTCATTTCTTTATAGGCAATACAATAGTATAACTATTGAAGTGTCTAGCATAGTGTAAAATTAGTCTTTCTTTTAAAGTATTATGTTATAATACAATAATCATAATATGATAAATATTCGTCGAATTTTTTCTTTTTATTTATTATTATTTTAAAATAATTTTATATTTCAAATAATTTCTTGTACTATTGAATATGATATATTTAGATTTAGTACCATATGAAAATTTCTGATTTTTTTCTCAAAACACGCTGCGTCTTATCCATCCAAGGACAAAGTCAATGGCAATGGATACACACATATATGGACACATACACATACATACACACACATACATACACACACACACACACACACATACACACATATGCACACACATACACAATACATTTTAATGTAGACAGGCAATTCTTTGCCAACAGACAGACAAACAAACAAACAAACAAACAAATAAACAGACAAACAAACAAACAAACAAACAAATAAACAAACGAACAAACACACACATATGCATACACACACACATACACGCACACAAACACATAAGGCATTTTCAGTGTGGAATGCAAAAGATATCAAGCGAATGGAACTGAGACGAAGTACCATTGCATTGATTAAAAATATTCGGCAGAGTGGTTTGGTGTTATA